TCGGCGAGGGATGAGAGCAGGGCTGCGACTCGGGAGTGGGTGTAGAGGGGGACCCGGGTACGAGGCGTCGAGGCCAGGGCTGAGCCAGGTTGGTGGTGGAGAAGGATGCAGATCCGAAGGGACGAGGGTGGGTGTTTGGGGGTGCAGAGTAGAATGGGGGCGCGCGGAGGGGATAGGCGGGGAAGAGCCTGACCGCCCAGCGGGCAGATCCAGGACGCACTCGGAGAAGGAGCCATTGAATGAAGCCGTCCCAGGGCTGTCCGTTGTTCGCCACTCCTGGAATTGAAGCATTTTTCACTCCAGGACCGGGTTGAGGGAGAGGGGGAGAGAGGAGCGAAAGGTCACCGGGCCCCAAAGGACGCCTCCTCGGTGGCCAGGCCTGCTCGGAGGGAGCGGGGACTAGCAGGGCCTGTGCTCTGGGCTGCAGCCCGGGTTCTCCCTCAAGCAGCAGGAGGCCAGGAAAAGGTCCCTTTGGATTACAATTTTTATTCAACAGCAGCTCTCCGGGGGATCCTGGGCTGAATCTGCATTTAACAGCTCTGGGGCGAGGGCTGCCAGGCTGCACCCGGCGCCCTGTTGCATGTTAATCCAGATTTGTCCCTGACATCCAGGGAGAAGCAATGTGGCTCTCAGAGATGGAACCAGAAAGCCACGCTCCCCAGGCAGGTTAAATGCCAAGTGCTGGTGAGCTCCCAGGGGAGGGACGGCTGCCGGGGCAGTGAAGGCCCAGGCTGGACAGGCCAGCCCTCCCGGCCTCAGATATCCAGGGCAGCCTGGGCCAGTGAGCTTTGCTTCTCAAGTGGGCCAGGGAGTCCTGGTGGCAATTGTTTTATTTTGAAAGTCCGGAATGTTGTTTCTGAAGCATAGTTTAAACTCTAAATCCTTAACACTGAACTTGTACTTGACTGAAAACACTCCCTCCCTGCAAAGGGGGATGGGGGTGCATCTAAGGGAGATTTGAGCTTTGTCTTTTGGAGAGGTGTTTATGGTCAGGGATGGGGATGGAAGGGCAAGGGACAGCCTAATATCCTTGATGAATTGGATCTGCTGTTTTAGGGGGGAAAAAAAGATAGATAAGGCCATCGGATAGTTGCTAATACTAGAAATGTGGTCAATTTATTTTCATCCAATAAGAAAACTGGACACAAACATCAGGAAACAGGAAAATGGTCCCCTTGTCAAGTAGTTTGTTTCTAAATGCTTACACATGGATACATCTCATTTAAATTGTAAATACTTCATAGGGTCCCACTTAATACCTTAATCCTGGCACCTTTCAGTCCACAGGCCTTGCAAGCAAAGGGGTCTTGGAATTATCTACCTTTCCTTTTGACTATTGTTGTGGGCCATGTGGTGCACTCTTAATTTCTTTTCTGAAATATGCCAAAGGGAAATTATGGCACGATTCTCTTTAATGATTAAATAATAAGGTGTTGACTGCTTGTCACTACATTGGCTAATTGGGATGTTCATTCTAGGCCCTTTATTACTTAGAATCCTTTGAATTAAAAGTTAGTTGTTTACCAGGTGTGTTTTCATGATTACTTTCTGATTGGCTTTTAGTGTGTATTTATGTGTGAATTTCAGAGTATGGATGTATTGATTCTTAATAGGGGCTCTTAAAAACATTTTAGAAAAAAGAAGTATAGGTTATATACAGATAGATTGAAGCCAATTACATTGTTAAATGTCTGGAAGTCTCAATACTAATATAACAGAAGTTGTTCCCTTTTCGGAGCACCTCTTTCTGTCTCCCTTCCTCTATCTATCTATCTATCTATCTATCTATCTATCTATCTATCTATTATCTATCTATCTATCTATCTATCTATCTATCATCTTTCTCTCTTGTTTCTTAGT